CCAGTGTGTTACTGCTGTTGTTGATGAACAACATCTGCTCTGGTGTTTTTCAGTTGAACAGTCTGGAGTTTCACTGAGTCACTTTCTTTTCAAAACTGGGTCTGTAGCTGATTTGTCACTAAACTGTGTTGTTGTGAACCGACTTTATTATCATTGTGTTGTTGGTAAAAACGCACCCACGCGCAATTCTGCAGTGGCAATTCTGTACACCTGAACGCGCACTGTCCTTACCACTCGTGTGTATTCTGTATCAACATCCAACACTAGGCGCTAGTTAAAGATTTAATACTGAAAATATAGAGGAATATTTTGCTTTACAAAACATGCTCATATACCGACTGTGTGTCAGGTGTTTGCACCTTTGGATAGAAACAGGAGCTAGTACAGGAACACCATTAGCATTTATTTGCAGGGGTTGGGGTTATGGACATAATTCCTAAGAGACAGTGTTGTGAAATCACCTGTTGCACTTTCCTTCATCTATATAGTTGCATGTTTTATAACAAAGGTTAAAATAAGAACCTGATTATACTCATGTTCTTATGCTCGTATGATCTCAGTCTCCTGTGTTTATTATAGAGTGCATTTCTATATGTACTGGGTGTGGTTGTGTGCCTGTGCACTTAATGCAGGATCAGTGTTGTTGTCACTCGCTGCCTCCCTGCTCCTTTCTCTTTTCTCACGCACACTCCCCTCACTCCCTCTACAGAGTGACATTCATTAATTAAATATGGTGTACTGCCGCAGGATGTGCTTCCCTTTCCACTATCTCCAGACACTAATAATTACATTGGCATTTAGCTCCGTGATAAGCCGACCCTATGGCCTTTATGAAATGTTCCCTGGGCCCGGATACTGAGCAAAATATAGACTGATGCGGCGCTATATATCAATCCATCTGCCTGTCTTCTTGCTTTAATCTTAAGAAAAGAGGCCCTGTTGCTAATGCATGGTTAAAGAATCTAACGACATCACCTAATTTTTACATAATCAAAGGCTGAAATCGAGCTGTGCTGGAAATAGGCATGGTGTAATTCTGCACATGGGTGGGCTGTTTAAATTATGTTAGAGCTTATGGTGATGCATTTCTACAGATAAATAAATGCCACAGTGACCACTCATTTATGAGACATATTTTTCTGTAGCCTTTAAGTTGAAAGGTTTATTCATTATGGCACAGTGTAAACCTTTTATTATTGATTAATCTGCTGAATATTTTCTCAAGTAATTGTTTGGTCTAGTGAAAAATACACATCACTGTAGTTTAAACAGCCCATGTAACAGATGTCTTGTTTTTTGCAACCAATAGTCAAAAACTATTCAGTGTACAATCACAGGAGTGTAAGAAAAGCAGAAAATAATCACATTTGAGAAGCTGAAATCAGTTCAATTGCCATTTTTGTTTCAGAAATTACTTAAAACAATTATTAGGTTTTATTAAAATTGTTGCCGATTGTTGCAGTTCTAGTAGACTTACTGGGAAAACAACATCTTTACTCCATGATTTATTTCCTTCACTATACATATTAGTTTTTTGGGGTCACTTTAATGTGCCTAAAATAAGACAATGTGTGAATGAATGTGATGATAGATGGATTTGTTCTTATCATTTAACTAATCTGTCAAATTCAGTTTTTAATTAATTCATGAATCTTTTAGTCTACAGTGTCAGAAAATACAACAACAATTCAAAACCCAAATATATTCAGTTAAAGGGATATGAAACACAGAAATGCAGCAACCAAACATTTGAGAAAAGGGAGCCATTGAATATTCAGCATTTTTGCTCAATTATCAACTCGACTTGAGTTTGTTTCGATTAATTTCCTGCCAACTGGCTAATTGATGAATGAACCAGTTCTTTAAGAACTGCTGTTCCACAGTGGTATAGCACATACCTCAGAAATATGCCAAAAAGTCAAGGCTGTTACCTGAAAAGCATGTATCTCTATAGCCCAAGCCAAGTCTCTTTGAAGTTCAAGCTGAATCTGAGTCTAAACACACTGAATTAGTTTTTTGACTGTAACTGGCATACAGAACACTAAGATATATACAAGCAAAGGAATGACATGGATAAGCTGAAAGCTCAACTGCGTCAGTATTTCCCTTTAAGATTATGCCTCAGTAGATAGAACTGAAGTTAGCCAAAAAGCTTTAGAGTATTAAGTTTGATTTTGCTTTACCTAATTACTTTGCCTCAGGTGGCCTGATCAGGCTGGTACATTGCGAGATTATTATGTGGCTTATCAGCTCCAGGGATGTATCAATTAATGCATAGTCACAATTACTGTAAACATGCATTTAGTTTGTAAAAAAGCCCACTTGTACCAGTTATATTTTAATACTTATCTTATACTGTCAGTAATAGCCTGCCATCTCTTCCCTCACTCATGTGGTATCATGTTCCTTTTCTTTTTTTATTGACAAATTGTTAATATTTGCTACAAATGTGGGGCATTTTACCTTTATCTTTCACATGACTATGGTTATTTCTCATAGCCTGAAATATAGTTTTCCACTGCTGGGGTGGAAGAATAGCGTAATTCCACAGAGAAGTGTGAAGCAATCACTCCAGGTTTGCCTGAATAATCTCTGATCACCAAATTAGACTCGAGAGTTGAGGCTCACTTGTTCCAGAATGGTCCTAGCTGAAATTACCAGGGAAGGTTTCAGTGAAAACCATCTGGGCTTCAAATTGGACCCCTGGACCCGGGAGGATTGTATGTACCATTCAGTATCAGCTAAGATGACCAGTGTTCTTGCTACCTTGGGAAATCTGCCTCTGACTTCTATTATTTTGGTCGATGTTTCTGTCCTCATCTGTCAAAGGGCCTGAAAGGGGATCACTAGCGAGTACTTTTCTATCTGAACAGCATGCCGTGCTGCTGTATTAGTCGCCCGGGTACTTGACAGAGCGAAGGATAAAAGCACGAATTGAGTGACAAGAGATGCTTAGATAAGGCAAAATGACATAAGTAGCTGGCAGCTTTATTACATATGTGACTTTCTGTGTACGTTCAGTATGCACACATGCTGTATGTGCTTTAATACTGTGTGGGAGTGGTAATATTTTCAGTTGTGTGGGTTCATGGTAATAAATGTCTCATCTTTTTGTTTGTGCTGTTTCCACATATTTGCAAGGTGATGCATTTCATAACTCTGACTAGAAACCCAATATTCTCTTGCCAGGTGGATATAAGTGGTATTTGTAGAACTGTGCTTCTGGGACCAGCTGGATCTATCAAATAACATAACGCCGTATGTAACAATGTTATTTGATCTTTCCTCTCTTCCCCCTCTCTCTCTCTGTAAGGCAATATCTTTGCATACTGTTTTATCAGCCCTCGTGTTCGTTTGGCTAAATCAACTATAGAGCTTATTTGTCAAAAGTGTTGTTAAATTTTCACAGATCTCAATTGAAGTTCAGATACAGTTTACAGACTATGTGTACTGCTGCGTAAAAGTGATTCATGCTTAATGTGCAATTTAACCGCAAGAGTTTATATGAGATTACTTAAAGTTACAGTTTGGCTACGGCTCTGACAATTTTGAAGGAATTTTTCACTTTCTTTTCTTTTCTTCTCCCACAATTGTAGCATTTTGCACTGCAGACAACACCTGGTTCCTTTGTTGTTAGCCAGACATAGTTTAGTTTTTATATTTCAGTAAATTAACATGGACAAGGTTGGAGCTCATTACAGTTGTAATTGTAGTAGTTGTAAAAAGTTGACATTTTTGCTTATTAAATTACTTAAATGATAAAGTGCTAATGAAAACTGTTGCAGATTAAATTATTTGTTGATCTACTAATGGATTAATGGAGTAATACTTTTCAGTTCTAGCCACAGTTTTGCTTATTCCTCAGCAAAGGTCGAACTCAAGATACAAAGAGCATGTCACCAGTAACAAAAGATAAAGACTGAATACTGCATAACAAACTGTGAACTTCAGCCTCAAACAAAACTTGCATTCAGCTCATTTCCTCTCTGGGTGCATGCAGCATGATTTGTATGCATTTCAAACAAACACATTTCAATTTGGCTTTGAAAAGGCTACCTAAGCACAAAAGAACTTTTCACAGCACCTGCCTTCCAGTCCAAATGTCCAAATCCACAGTCGTGTTTATTAGCTTAGCTTAATTGTGCATAGTATCTAAAGGTCAGTGCCTGCTGTGATACATCGCTGCCAAAATGGCTTCCAGGGGACACTGTTTCAGATGAATAAACACTGAAAGCTGCACCACCTTCCACCCCTCCGTCCCCATTCCTTACCTCCCAATGCGTGGCAGCATCACATTCGGCTCTTTCAGGCCTTGCACAAGGTCCTGTGACTGATGGGCATCCACTGGTACGCACCGCCTCACTGACTTCCATTTCAGCAGGCAAAAGACAGCAGATTAATTCTCTTGTCAATCCCCCCCCCCCCCGTTTTTTTTTCTGCAGGAGTTTATTCAGATAGGAGGAATGATGTGTTTGTCCTCCAGTGAATTAAAACATGCAGTTTATCTGTATAACTACAGCCTTCTCCGTGATTAATGGTATTTGACTTCTATAAGCAGTAAACTTCTTCCGTTTGGCTGTAAAAGCTGATTTAATGAGAGAGTGACTTGAATAGATAAGCAGATATGGCAGTGGGGATTATTGGGAGGTGAACTGAATGGGAGATGGATGGTGTGCAGTTTACTATCAGTTATGCAATGCACTTTTTATAAGCTCATACCTGTGGGGCCAGCAGGCACTCTGCAATGGATGTGAGATTGTGTGCATCCTAAGATATGTGTCAGAATGTATATGTGCTTTAGAAAAGATGTGTACACTCGTAGCGCAGGTTGTGTATTAGGCTGTATTAAGAATTTACAAGAGAAGGAAAGCGTTGTGTGTTGAGTGTCTGTTAAGACAATTTTTCGGTCCATGTTTGATTCACGCACTGCGTTGGCATGTTGAACGTGTTTGTATATATGAAAATGACTCTTAACCTCTTACCTCTCACCCCCCCCCCAGGCTTTGTTGGGAGGAGGCCATCAGATGGATCTCACCGAGTTTCAGCACACACTGTGGGACATCCTGATAAAAGGAGACAGTGTCAAGGTGAGCTCCATCATTATTCATTTCCCGTTCTCTCTCCCCTCTTTTATTTGTATTTTCATTTCTTCTAACTGTCATTCACTCCTTGATTCCTTGATTCCTTGGATTAGTTGTTGTTGATGTCAGAGAAAAATTGACTGTTGGGTGGGGACATGAGTAACATTCAGTAGTGGCTAGTTGTAGTTCTTGTGGATGTTGGAGCATCCCTCCCCACGAATGTGCAGCGGTGTTGTCTGTACATGTTCGTGTCACTGATTTTAATTGTATTAATGTGTATGTATTTTTATCCACGCTAGCAACATGGCTCTGTAGAATCAGTCCCTTGGTCCACCACTTTGCTTCAGACTGAAATGTCTCAATAACTATTGGGTGGATTGCCATGAAATTTGGTACAAATATCCATGTTACCCAGAGGTGGAAATGTAATTAATTTGGTGATACCTTGACATTTCCTCTAGCACCACCATGAAGTTGATATTTGTGGTATTGAATGAAATATGCCTTAATCTAGTGCCATCGCTGTGGTAAAAGATTAATTTGTCCAATACTTTGGTTTATGACCAAATATCTGCAAAACTAATGACATTCCCACTAACCTCAGCTATACTTTGTGTGTAGCGCTAATTAGCGAATGTTATCAGGCTAACACATTAAACTAAGATAGTGAAACCACTAACACTATACCATTTACCTCAAAGCAACACTGTGCCTAGTACAACCTCACAGAGCTGCTGAAAACAACTTCCTAACAATGGCCAGATAAATGTACATGGGAAAATAAAGCACTGGTATCTTCACTGACTGCGTGCAATAACCTCCAGGAACAAAACAAGACGAGACAAGAGAATATCTAGACGATAAGCACAAAATGAGGAAAAATTGTATTTCTTTAACTGAAATGTGCAAAAGCTGGATTACTCCAGAGTTGTAAATGTAGCCGCTGGTGACTTGATGCAGTGATGTTCTTCTAGTGACCACGGTGTGATTAGATTTATCTCACGGTTCTATCCTATCTTGACAGCCACAACACAAATAACCTCATAACACCTTCCATTCTTGAGTCCGTGTTAATTTAGAGCCCCTAAACTGCCGACATACTTCTTTCTCAGCACAGGTTTATAAACCGCACATTTTCATCTGACAGCTAAGGCCTAAAAGAAAATGTCCGTGCCTCTCTCCATCTTCTGAACTGAGGACGCGGAGAGTGCGAGATACCATCCTTTCATTTCCGCTTCTCCAGATAAAAAGATGAGAGAGGGAGAGGACGAAAGTGAGGCCTATCGCCGGGCAGCAGTGATTGAGTCCCTTCGCTAAGCCACAGCGAGGATCTGCTCAAATAACCCACTCTGCCGATAAGAAGCTCGTCATTTCCATAGACAAAAAAACATTGGGGTTCAGATTAGATTTCACCATCCGCCTGGCTTTTTTAGTGTAGCTCCAACATAGAATTAAAATTAAAAAAGGCAAACTCCTGCCCCCCGGCTTTTCATGAAAACACCAATGAAATACATATGGACTTGAAATGGAATGATTTTATTAGCACTGTTATTGTTAGCAGTCGCAGCACTGGTGTCAATCACCAAAACTGCCTCTTTTCTCGTCATGCTCTCTTTTTCGAAGAAGCCAAGGAAGTCTCAAAAATAAATCGGCATCCAAAATGCAGCCTTGCTCTTGTTAGTTTCAGAGCCCTTGAGCTCCCTGGTAGCTCACCTGGTAGAGCGTGTGCCCTGTGTACAAAGGCTGAGTCCTTACTGCAATGGCCTGGGTTCGATTCCAACCCGTGGCCTTTTGCTGCATGTCATCCCCTCTCTCTTCCCACTTTCCTTTCTCTCTTCAAGCTGCTTCTATCAAATAAAAGGCAATAAAAGCTTAGTGGACTAGCAACTGAAGAGTGTAAAGTACGACCTTTCTAGATCTTATTTTTGCCCTGGCACAATTAGGGCAGGGTATCATTTAAAATATGTTGACGTCATTGCCAACATGATGGTGAATTTAAGCACCTTTTAACCATTTTTAATGTATTAAAATAGGGAAACCAGCTCAATGCATTAATGTTACATAAATATATATATATAATAACTGACAAAAGAAAGAGAACAAGGTGCTCATAACATAGCCATTGGTCTTTCATTGATACATTTGTAGCAACAGTCGGCTGTCTGTAAGATAAGAGAAGACTGAAATGCTTCAAAGAAATGTTGATTGGCCTGTAAGACTTGCTGTAAATCAGCTTTTAATGTATATGTTTATTTATTCTTTATTTTCTGCAAGCCTAATCTCAATCAGTCTTCTTCACAAAGCTAGCTTTAAACCTATTAGAATTTAGTAAATATATAAGTGAAAAACCTGTCTGCATAGCAAAAAATTTTGTTCTTTTTCATTCAATCCCAGTCTATAACCTTTGATCATGTTCCAGTCATTATTTCAAGCCAAGCAGGCCATTTGAAAGGCTTGACATGTGTCCAAATATGACCCTACATGTACATAGATGTCAATTTTCTCTGAACCTCACAGTGTTGAAGATGACAAGTGTTGTGTGTGATGTGTTTTTTTAGTTCTATACTGGTTAGTATTTTATTGATATATGGGCCTGGCTATAGAGCAAGTAAAGGCTGAAAGGCACTGAAAAGCTTGGTTGTTTGGACATCCTTCAGACTGCCATTGTATCTTTAAATATGACAATTTGTGACACATAAAAGCTCTTTCTTGTGTTTCTAGATTAGGTATAGATAGGCTGGTTGTTGTTCAGTGCACTCAAAGTTACCATATAAAGATGTGATGCAGTAACAGGGTATGATGATGTATGTGCTTTTGACTCTACCACTGTTACTTTAGTTGAGGTGAAACGTGAAGATGGATGGATCAAGTTTCTGTACTTTTACTATTGTTTGTTGCGTATATGTTTTTTTTTCTTCTGTTGATTTTATACATCACATTTATCTATGTGTGGAAAAGTTTTATTGGATTGTAAATGTTTTATGTTTTACAGCTTTCCGCTGCTGTGATGGATTCGATTTATTCATCATTATATGCAAAACAACCCGCAAACCAGCTCCTGAAAAGTTTTGATATTTTTTATTATGTAATCTTAAGCATTGCTTCTATTACTGTAGGAGACATGTCAGCTGCTGTATGACACTTAAACATCAGTGTGACACTTTTCAGTACGTCAACCACTCGTAGGCATTTGAGTTTCCGTACCTCTTCACTGCCATTTGGATATCTTAAGTCTTAAATCGAATAATGGTGTGAACTGAACATATGGCTGAAAATGACGTGACCGAGATGCCTACATCAAAAACCTGATTAGGAAACGAGTGTATTATAGGCTGTGCTACATTGAGACAGGTGACACATTTGACCTTTTCACACAGATACAAAGGACTGATTGTCTTACGTTGAAGACTTGCACAGTAGCTGCAGCGGCTAATGGTGTTTTTTCATTCCACACTTTCATGCCACACTTTATCCCAGCAACGGAGGCTGTCACAAATGCAATGGCCAGCCCAAATGGACAGTGGTTTCTGTTTCAAAAGCAAACATTACTAATGAATCACCACATCTCTCAAACAGCCTAATTAGGAGCTAATTATTCAGTCTTTTCTCAGATTTTATATGACTTTAACCTGCCCTCCCTTTGCCTTGACAAAGGGTTGCCAGATTATTGCAGGCCTTAGTTACAGTAAACAACATTTGAGGGGATCTGTGCAGCCCACCCAAACCCCTTACATTGAATTTCCTTGATTTTATTCCCCATTTTTTGCATTTGGGAGTTTTGAATTATGAAAGAAAACATACATCATTGTTCCCACTTTCCTATCAGCACAAAAAGATTATAGATTGTTAGACTCGGCCTCAGCATTCAGAGTTGATGTGGGCTGGTATTTGCAAATAGATATCATTGGTTAGAATGGCAGTAAATACACAGTAGTTCAGTTTCAAATGTCAAAGTGTGTCCTGGTTTAAAGCAATTCATTCACTGTCTGTAATTTGCCCACAACAACAGCACTGTAAGCATTGTGAGAATATGCTACATTCACCTTAAGCATCAACAATGAAATTAAAGAATTGTCTTTACACTTAGAAATCTTTTGGAAAAGCAAGAAGCAGCAGTGTCAGCAGTACTAGTGAAAGCATGCTTTGGATATTCAGAGTGTGCAGCAGAATTAGCAGAGTATTTTTGGAGATTGGGGGCTTTTGCTCTGGAGACTGACACGCTGTTAGGGGTACATTTGTGTGAACATTTAATGGACCCCCTGCTGGTCTCCCTGTCGCCCCCCATTGTAAAGAGGCCTAAGCAAACCTGACATCAAGAGCATTTGGGGTACTCTCCGTCTATCTATCGCAGCACTTTTTTCCTCCCCCTTGCTCTCCCCTTTTAAGTAAAGACAACTTTGGTGAATATTTCATGGGGTACATTGCCTCAGTTTCACTGTGTCGAGCAGGGAGAGTGGCACGCGATGACGATTGACAGGCCCACACGCCAGCGTCCGCTAGGAGACAGCCTTTCTGTTTGGTCTGTCTTTCGTGACACTCCTACTCCTTTTCCCCTCCCATTTTCCTTCTGTCAGAGACAACAGTTTTTTCAGGCCAGAGAGTCTGGCTGCTGATCATTTAGCTGTTTCTTTAAATTTTAGTATGACTGCAGAACTTCTGCCGATCCATCTGATACTCTTCGCTAAAATGCCAACATATGGATACAAATCTGTTTTTGCACAGACTGTAACATTTATAGCACTTAATGATATGATTACACCCTTTTAAAATCATAAAGAAACTTAACTGTGCTTCTGTTGCCAACTTTGTGTTTACATTAATGAGTGAATTATCACATTATCAAAGGGGAAGTGTTCTCTTTGTAAAAAAGGATTGTTATTTCTTCAAGTGTCTTCACTCGCCACTTCATGATGAATGATTCCATCTGCCGTTACCTTTTTAAGCTGACCTCAGCCTGGCACATTATAGAAAAATGCCGTATCAACCATAAAATAATACCACTAAAT